TCTCTTTCTCTCTCTGTGTCTACACACACACACACACTCCTCCTACAATATTTTGAATCAAGGGCAGTGCCATTATTTATTTTGCATTAGCTTAATGGCAGAGACATGCAGCCAGATGCTATGAGCAGCTCTGGATTCTGTGAGGAATTAAATGAACCATCATAAATTTAAATCCTGACATTTTATAATTCTCAGAGTGCACGAGCACTGGATTCTTGCTCTCTGCAGCAAACCTTGAAACAAGTAACCTATTCATTTCTTATTAGGCTGCTTGTGTCTGTTCAGAGAAAAATGCCATCTGGAGTTTGAATGCTAGAGAGCAGATTCCCCCACCCCCCACCTCCAGATTTGTTGTTTTGTCATATCCAGTGTCACATGGAAGCGCCTTCAGGATTTCTGTTCTCGGTGCTCTCCTTCCCTTCAGTCTGCTGATATTTAAATTGGAGATAAGTAATGACTAGATTCCATTCTTCTCCTTTTATAACGGGCAGCTGAAAGAATATTTTTTTTTAATATGGTGACGTTTGTAAAATAATTAGTTTATATACAATTAACTAGCCCAACCCACTGCACAGGGTTGTTGTGGGAAAATAGGAGGCAGACAAAGTATTCTGTTTGCTTGTCGTCTTGAGCTATGTATAATCTGGATTCTTCTTCTAAGAAAAGTTTCATGTTAAAATTGGTAATAAACTGCTCCATGTTCCATTGTGAACCGGATCCTCCAGTTGCTGAAATGCATATACTAATGCCATTCTTATGATTTGACTGAAGATAGTAAATGTGTTGACTCTTTTAGGAACCTAATTTATAGCTTAATCTAAGAGCAAAGCCTCAGTGCTTCTAAAAGAAGGCTCTGGGTGGGATAAGAAGTAAAATGATTTCAACCATATTAAAACTAATCTAAATCTAAATTAAAGTTACAATAGTCCCAATGATGCTTTTTCAAAAGGCAACTGGACTTATTTTTCCCTCAGGAAGAGAAAGAAGTAGTTTAGCTTCTCATTCGAACCAGGTTCTGGCAGGATGGTGGGGGACAATGGAAGCAAAGTCCACTTTCTGGATAGAGAGGACTGTTGGCTTGAAAGAGGGGTAAAATATATATTTTATATTATATTAAGATGGAGCAGCCCTCTCTCAACAGTGGGGGAGGGATAAGACACCACCTATCTCCTATCTACCATGCAGCAGTTCCAAGAAGATGTCATCCCCATTTGCACTCTGGTACGGATGACTCCGAGGGACCTCTGTAGCCTCAAGAGCTCTCAGGGANGAAAACTCTTTTCCAAAGCAAGGATGACTTTAGTAAGGATCCGGAGGAGCTTCCGGCACGTATCTCCTCAAGTGGTGCTCTTCTTGCTCTTTGCCTTCTGCCTGCTCAGTGTTTTTGTCTCCGCATATTATTTATATGGGTGGAAGAGGGGACTGGAACCCTCAGGGGATATCCCGAGCCCAGACTGTGATGAACCGAAGATTGCTCCTTCACGCCTGCTACCAATAAAACCCATCAAAGTGGTAGATTCTTCTCGGACTGACCCCTTGGTCCTTGTGTTCGTGGAAAGCCTTTACTCTCAACTGGGACAGGAGATTGTGGCCATCTTGGAATCTAGTCGTTTCAAATATCTGACAGAGATTGCTCCGGGGAAGGGAGACATGCCTACATTGACTGACAAGGACCGAGGGCGCTTTGCACTTATCATCTATGAGAACATCCTGAAGTATGTGAACCTGGATGCCTGGAATCGTGAGCTCTTGGACAAGTACTGTGTAGAGTACGGTGTAGGCATCATCGGCTTTTTCAAGGTATTTCAAATTTGAGAAAGTGTTTACTGAAATGATGGGAAGAGGAGAAGCGATACACTGACTTTTGGAGATAAGATTTGAGCAACAGTAAAAAGCAGAATAGTATATGTTTAGCTGTTTCTATTGCACAATGAAGTTATCAAAGGGGAACTATGAAATTTCAGGTTATAGTTCCCTTTCCTGATTTCTTGTGAGATTATTCTTTGTTAATATTTCCCAAGGGCTACTTGTGCTTCTCTGCAAAAAGAAAGTGAACGGAGTAGCTAAGTAGCCTTTATTTTTTGACATGCAATTTTTTTTGTTTGTCTTTACACCTCAGAGGCGGAGAAATGTTTCACACCTGAGATTTTAAGAAGGCCAGAGGCATGCAACACAACATTGTATATCCTAATCAGATACTTGCTTCACATTTTATGCATAAAAATAGATGGTAATACAAAGACAGTGTAAGAAAGCTTTCTCCTAGCAGATGTCTCCATAGCTGCTGGCCTGAATCATTTATCTTCTTAGCATGGTTATGATTGCTGGGAAGAGTGGGAATCTGTGAGTCCCAAGAGGACACTCAAATTACTCACTGGTTTGACTAGGGAAGTCACCCCCAGGCAGAATTAAAGATGGAGAATTTCCAGAATCATGGACCCTAAAAACCCATACACACTCAGTTTTGCCAAGGTTGGAATAAAGTACTGGGAAAGGAGCTTGATGGCATTACTTGATTAGCCAAGCCAGAGACCTACAGCTTGATGGCATTACTTGATTAGCCAAGCCAGAGACCTACAGCTCTGCCATCAACATACAGATGACCTCCCCCAGCTGCTTCATGTTAATGTTAAATGCAACCCTGAGGTACCCCAAAGCAATGGCCTGGAATCGGCCCCGAGAGAAAAGAGGCAACCCCATAACACTGTGAGCTCCTTGTCTAGAAGGATATCATCATCAGTGGTATCAAAAGCTACTGAAAGGTTAAGGAGACACAAGATAAATGTAGTACCGCTATCCAGGGCCCACCAGAAGTTATTGCCAAGCATAAACAATGCCATTTCAGTGCTGTGGCTTGGACTGAATATTGACCAGATAATTTGTTTTTTTTTTCTAAAGCCCTCTGGAGTTGTAAGCCAACCATCTTCTCAGTAACCTCTCCCCAAAATTCCAACTGGTTTTGTGTCTAAGGTGGAACTAGAAGTCACAATTTCCCAGTTTTTAACCTGGTTCTTAATGAGTACTATATTTGATCTTAACTAAGCTGCTGTGGTGTGGCCTGAAGATCATAATAAAGGTTTAGGTCACAAGATTTACCCTGCTTGAGAACATGTAGGCAAATTCATTCTCTCCCTCTCTCTTTTTGTGTACATATGAACAGTGTCTTTTGAAACATTTTTAGTTCTGAGAGCCATCTATATCTGTCCCCTGAAAGCCATTTTTTGGGAAATGTGGGTTAAGAGTAAGAGAGGAGATTAATAGACGAGGGGAATATTTTGACCTAACCTTGTTTCTTAGGTCCCTTATTTCTCTCTCTCTCTCTCTCTCTCTCTCTCTCTCTCTCTCTCTCTCTCTCTCTCTCTCTCTCTCT